ATTTTATATTTATTATTTATTTTATATTTTTCTGCATATTATAAATAATAAAATAATAAATATATATATTAAATAACTAAGAAATCAATTACTATTATGTAACAAATTGGCGTATGCATATAAATTTAACTATTACTCTTGTTTATTCACAATTAGGGTAAATAAATCAAAATAATCAATCTTATATATTGTATATGATTATAATTAAATTTAAATGATATAAACATAGTAATATAGCACACTTTTAATATGGATATTTATTAAATGAGGTTTCTACTCATATGATTTTATGATTATTTGCATATTTGTGTAACAAAACTTTACACCAATGATTTATAAATTACGTGATGATTATTTGAATTTAAGTATTTTCCATTTTACATATACACTTCCATAAATTAAAAGGAATGAAGTTATTATAGTTAATATATGCAAATCGTTATCAAATCGTATATTTTCCTTTTCTTCCATTACATGCGTGCGATATATATAAATATATAAACTATGTTACATGCATTATATGCGTCTCTAATTATTTTTCCCTAGCAAATTTCAATTGAACCTAAAGCCGCCACGTCAGTTTAATTGATATGCTAATTGATTGACAACTAAGCAAGGTTACTTTTTAATTAATACAAACTTGAGGTTACATCTTTTCAAATGTTTCTCAATTAATATATAGGGGATTTGAATTTTAAATTAAATATATTTGTTAACTTTTTTGTTCCTCTTGTTATGTAGACAAAATATTGGGTCAAAAAGAAGGAAGCTTTCTCTGTTTCATATGGTCCTCACCTGTGATTTTCCGACCTCTCTTTTTGAAAATCCTTCTGGGCCCACTTTGTTTTCTTTCTTTCTTTTTAACCTATGGTAAGAGTTCTTCCTTCTGCGTAATAATGAAATTCTTCGTTGAACGTAATAATGAAAATTCTTCGTTTGAACGTAATAATAAATTCAACGATCAGTGGTTCATTTAAGTTTGAAAGCTGTACAACTTATTAGAAAGAAAAAAAGAAATCTGAACATAGAAAAAAACATGATAATGTAAACAAATTACGTTATTAAAATCTTCTTTCTTTTGGTTCAGACGATGGTAATAAACAAATGTCTTAATTATTTACCGAATGATTTTATCTTTTTTATGTCGAAATAAAAGACAAGAAGTGGTTTATTGTCTGAGGAATTATAACGAAATTGTAGTAACACCATCTTAAATGAGTCATTGAGACTCTAAAAAAGAAGGAAAAAGAGAGATATAATCAATCAACTGATCTATGCAGTTTCAGCTCTTTTACATCACAAAATGGAGGAGGACCCGAAGCTGAGTCAAAACATAAATTTAGCAAGACCAGGCAGAGATGGAGTTTGATCTGGACAGAGAGGAAGAAGAGTGTAAGAACTCGATGCAGTCCTCAATGGCTTCTGCACGGTGAGACTCTGACTCGTTGACAGACTTTGACTTCACCAAATATATAGACGATGAAGAGGAACAAGACAAAGAGGAAGTAGACGGCGTCGAAGTGGTGTTACTACTACCACTACTACTCTTCCTTCCCAGTGACATAAAACGCATCGTTTTGGCGACTCCGGCTCCAATACGCCTGAGTAATCTCCTCGCTGTTGGCGAGCTCCTGACGTGGAAACGGAAAACTCCGCCTCCGACGGCTCTCCGACGACCGTTGTGTGTTGGATAGACGGGTTCTTCGTTCCCTCCTTCAGGGTCCGGACTAAAGCTCACTCTCTTGGATCCTCTTCGAGACATGTTCTTGTGCCTGCTGCACTCTGAAGACTAAGTGAGAGAGAAAACAAAACGGAGAGTCGTGAGACGTTTTGAAGAGTATTTATGGGGACAAGTGTGTTGTTGATGTGGGGAGAAATTATAAAGTCAAATGGAAATAGAGAGAGAGGAGAGGGTTCATGATCTAGCTGTGTTTAATTTGTATATTGTCCTTTTTTAACAAAACAAAAACCATTAGCTTGTGGAACTTTTTATGGAGACGATGTGGTTTGTTTAATCCTAAATTTAGTCCAAATTATTAAGAAGATTCGTCGTTACATATGTATTGATAAATTTAAATAGGAGACAAAAGCAGAAACCAGATTGATTCTCTTCTTGTCAGCTTTGCCTTTTTTAGGTGAAATATTAGGGGTCCTACCCATTGTTGTCAGACTACTGTTTCCCTCTCCATATATATATATAAGTAGTTGATGTATAGTAAGTCATTTATAATATTTCAAATTATTTAATAAATTATGATACTTCAATAGTTTCATATATACTTTTCTAAGAAATTATAGCTCATTTTTAAGTATAAGTTTTTTTTTGTTGATTAAGAAAATACCTAATGACGTTATACATTTATAATGTATGTTAAACTTATTTTCGTGATACAAAGACAACGTTTATATTATTTTAATGAATAATTCAATAAAACTACATATTTCATTTAATTCCATCTAATTCAATAGATTAACATTTATAAAATCTGTAAAATCGAGAGAAATGAAGACAAATAAGGTTTCAAACTTCTTTATTTTTTATTACATGTCAGTGCTAGATGAAGTTTTGCATCAAATAAAAATATCATATTCTAATTTATCTTACGAAAAATCAAGTTTTTTCCCAATAAATACTATATATATTAAAGTTTAACCTCACTAATGTTTTTTTTGAATATCATATTTTCTTCCATATTTTCTAAGTTATCTTGGAATATATAGGTTAACCCCTGCAAAAAGATTGAATTTTTTGATAATACAATCTATACTATTCAGCCTCTTTAGTGTTGCTTAAAAATACATAATCACATTCCAATATATATATATATATATATATATATATATAATCACACTCCAATGAGTCATTTATTTATATTACATATACCAAGTAAAAAATGGACTAACCTTTTTTGGAGAGAGAGAAACATCTAAGGTCTTAAAACTCTATATTCTTTATACTATGTTAGTGCATGATGCATCATTCATTTAAACAAAAATACTTTAATTTTTTAATTGATCTTAAAATCCGTGGATTAACCCCTACAAAAAATCGAGTTTTCTGATAAATGATATATACTGAAGTTTAAGCTCTTTCTTGTTGATTAAAAAAATACCAAAACACATTTTACATTTATATTAATGTATGTTAAACTCATTTTCGTCTTTCACGGAAAAGGTTTCTTATATTTTAAACAGTAATTTAATATAACTTCATATTTCACCTAATTCAGTGGACTAGTCCCTATAAAATCTGTAAGCTCTGGAGAACATGGATAAATAAGATCCCAGACCTCTCTATTTTTCATCACATGTCAGTGCATACTGAAATTATATATTATACCAAAATACCATTTTTTCTAATTTATCTTAAGAAAGAATCGAGGTTTTTTCTAATAAATGCTATACATATTAAAGTTTAGCCTTATTACTGGTTTTTTGGTACAAGAGCATCGTTTTAAGTAATTTAAGTTAAGTTCATATACCACTTAATCAGTGGACTAACCCCAATAAATATTTATTTTTTGGAGAAGCAGGAACACCTAAGGTCTCAAACCTCTTTAATATTGATACTATGTCAGTACATGATGCTTCTATGCAATAAAACAAAAATATCATATTTTCTAATTTTTCTTGAAATATGTGGGCTAACCCCTACGAAAAGATCAAGTTTTTTGATAAAGGCTATAAATTGAAGTTTATGCTCTTTGTTGTCGATTAAAAAATACCAAATCACGTTATAAATTTATATTAATGTATTTTAAACTTCTTTTCATGGTACAAGAGCATCGATTTAAGGTTTTGAATGAGTAATTTATGTTAAATTCATATATCACTTAATCAGAGGACTAACCCCAATAAATATTTATTTTTTGGAGAAGTAGGAACACCTAAGGTCTCAAACCTCTTTAATATTGATACTATGTCAGTACATGATGCTTCTATGCAATAAAACAAAATATCATATTTTCTAATTTTTCTTGAAATATGTGGGCTAACCCCTACGAAAATATCAAGTTTTTTGATAAAGGCTATAAATTGAAGTTTATGCTCTTTGTTGTCGATTAAAAAATACCAAATCAGGTTATAAATTTATATTAATGTATTTTAAACTTCTTTTCATGGTACAAGAGCATCGTTTTAAGGTTTTGAATGAGTAATTTATGTTAAGTTCATATATCACTTAATCAGGGGACTAACCCCAATAAATATTTATTTTTTGGAGAAATATGAACACCTAAGGTCTCAAACCTCTTTAATATTGATACTATGTCAGTACATGAGGCTTCTATGCAATAAAACAAAAATATCATATTTTCTAATTTTTCTTGAAATATGTGGGCTAACCCCTGGGAAAATGGGCTTTTAATTCCTCAAGTGTTTGTAATAGGCACTTTTAATACTCAACTTCTACTTATGCAATTTTAATCCTCAAATGAATATTGACTAAGCAAAATTGAACTTTAAAAAGTCAACTGTTATGTTTATTGACGGAGACGTTAATTATGAGAATAAAGATTTCATTGTCTTTTGAAACCCAGAAACCTCTCTCTTTGATTATTCAGGCGATTTTGGCGGAGAGGAGGTGAATTCCAGTGAGAATTATGCTCTATTTCAATTATTTCAGGTTTACTCATTTTGCATTGGTGGTCCTCTGAGTATGCAGCTGTAATAAGATCCCGAACCATACACGTTAAAATCTTTCCGACTGAATCGGTGAATGGAATATAGTTCAAAGCTTTAAAAGTGGAGGTTCTGGCGTGGTCTGTGGAAAGGTGAAACCCGTTCACGTTAAAATCGTTATGAATCTATAACAACGCTTGAAGCTCTTCAATCAACAAAGACTCATAGAATCTCAAGTGTTCAGTTAAATTTGGACTCTATTGTCCTCTTCTCTGCCAAGCGTTCATGGCTGGACATGATTAAGATCACAGGTTTTCTTTTCAGAAACCTTGTCACTCTTTTCACTCCACTATATTGTAGTTTTTTAATCAATGCACAGCCACTTGTTTAGCTGTTGCTTTCACAATGAGTGTTGTATCCAAACTATGTTCTTTGATTACTCTGTTTTGAATGTTATGAAATGAAATCCTGGACAAAAAAACCTATCTACCCATGAGAAAAAACTACTAATGAACACTGTGTCTTGTCCTTTTAACTTTGGCCATAATCTTAAAATCATACATGTACAAGTACTCATACGATTAGCAAAAACAAAGTTTGTAACAAGATAACTAGATTTCTCTTCCTAAAAATGCATATATTTTCCAGTTCAACATTTGAGTCCTGCAACAGTTACAGTATCACACTCTTATTTTTTTAAAAATATGTCATAATGATAGTTCTCAGATTTACATTTGCATCGCTATAACCTTTCCCCACTAGCAAACAAAACCAAAACTTTAACATAATTTCAAAGCGAAAGGAATAGGCAATGTTAGCAGTATAAATATCTTCTCATCTCAGACGAACGCTTAAAAGAAAAACAATGAAAAAATAATAATTAAAATGATAAAAGTAATCTCTACGGTTTTAATAAGCGCTAAAGATTGATCCCCACATTGACTGACTTGGTCTCATTGGCATCTTGTTTTAATGTTTTGCATTGTTTTATGATTCTTCTACTCTCCCGCCAGGCACAAAAAAATGATAAGGCTTATGTTTCTCGCCAGAATTGTTCAATTCTCGACGGGATTGTCCTCTTCTCACCGGAACTCACCTTTTCTCCACCAAAATCGTCTGAATAACCGAAGTGAGAGGTTTCTGAGTTTGAAAAGAAAAATCAAGTCTCTTTTCTGTCATAACTAACGTGTCTCCGTCAAAAACATAAGAGTTGACTTTTAAAAGTTTAATTTTGCTCAGTCAACATTCACTTGAGGATTAAAACTGCACAAATAGAAGTTGAGTATTAATAATGCTGATTACAAATACTTGGGGAATTAAAAACCCATTTTCCCGCTAACCCCTACGAAAAGATCAAGTTTTTCGATAAAGGCTATAAATTGAAGTTTATGCTCTTTCTTGTCGATTAAAAAATACCAAATCAGGTTATAAATTTATATTAATGTATTTTAAACTTCTTTTCATGGTACAAGAGCATCGTTTTAAGTAATTTATGTTAAGTTCATATACCACTTAATCAGTGGACTAACCCCNGAAGTTTATGCTCTTTCTTCTCGATTAAAAAATACCAAATCAGGTTATAAATTTATATTAATGTATTTTAAACTTCTTTTCATGGTACAAGAGCATCGTTTTAAGGTTTTGAATGAGTAATTTATGTTAAGTTCATATACCACTTAATCAGTGGACTAACCCCAATAAATATTTATTTTTTGGAGAAGTAGGAACACCTTAGGTCTCAAACCTCTTTAATATTGATACTATGCCAGTAAATGATGCTTCTATGCAACAAAACAAAAATATCATATTTTCTAATTTTTCTTGAAATATGTGGGCTAACCCCTACGAAAAGATCAAGTTTTTCGATAAAGGCTATAAATTGAAGTTTATGCTCTTTCTTNATATTTTCTAATTTTTCTTGAAATATGTGGGCTAACCCCTACGAAAAGATCAAGTTTTTCGATAAAGGCTATAAATTGAAGTTTATGCTCTTTGTTGTCGATTAAAAAATACACAATCAGGTTATAAATTTATATTAATGTATTTTAAACTTCTTTTCATGGTACAAGAGCATCATTTTAAGTAATTTATGTTAAGTTCATATACCACTTAATCAGTGGACTAACCCCAATAAATATTTATTTTTTGGAGAAGTAGGAACACCTAAGGTCTCAAATCTCTTTAATATTGAAACTATGTCAGTACATGATGATTCTATGCAATAAAACAAAAATATCATATTT